AGTTTCTTTGTTGTTGTATTAGTTAAAGCAAGTAATGGGTATTTCAATAAGAGCGCTACAMATGTCAACAAAAACGGTTTGGGATATCAATGAAGTTCTTTACTCCTGTGAAAGTATATTCGATGGCTATACGTGTACATATGAAACTTGATTTCTTTTGCATCGACACCACGGGCACGCTTGCAAAAGACGCTAATTTTCGACGGGTGGATAGCAGCAATTTCACTTTCGACATTCTTATGAAATTCATCAATCGTCGCTAGCTTGTTGGCATACAACATATGCTTTACGCAGCCCCACAGAAAATAGTCTAACGGCGTCAAATCGCACGACCGAGGCGGCCAATTGACTGGACCATTTCGTGAGAAAACACGTTCACCAAACTTGTTAGAAGAACRTATTGTCCAAGTTAATATCATCCAATTTGAGCCAAAAATATTCGACTATCATTGAGCGGTAGCGATTCCCATTCACAGTAACGTGCGTGTTTTGATCATCACGGAAGATTTTGACCCAATGATGACGCCTTACCATAAACCGTCCCAAACCTTAATTTTTTCGTGATGAAATGGTGACTCATGGGGAACTTGTGTATCGGTGTCATATTTTGCTTATTGACGAAGCCATTTAGCCAGAAAAGAGTCTCATCGCTGAGGAGGACTTTTCGATGAAAATCCGAATCAATTTCAAGTTGTTGCTCAGTCCAATTTACAAACGTACGCCGATTCTGTTAGTCAACCGGTTTCAGTTCTTGCGTCAAATTGATCTTGTATTCATGTAGATCAAGATCTTTTCGCAAAATTCGCCACAAGGACCTTACAAAGATGACCAACGATTGAGTACGACGTGTGAGAGACTGATTTGGGGTTTCCTCAATTGATGAGCTAACCAACCGCAGCACTTCTTAGTCTCACTGGCTCGGGAACAGTTTGTACTGTGCCCGTGGATTCAAATTTTTCCAGTACACGCTCAAGTGTTGGCCTCACAGGACGATTATGGCGAGCATAAGTTGAACGAGGCGCTCTTAAAGTTGAACTTCGGTAGTAAATTTTAATAATTTTTACTTGTTCTTGAATAGTATGTCTTTCTTTGATAAAATGACAAACTTTATTAAAGAAAAATGTCAAAAGAGCGGGAAAATGCCAAATATGGCCTGATTTGTTGTCCCTATCGGTCTACTTGTGTATCAACTCTATTGAAAAACCCGTTACAATTTATCTTTAGTCTCAAAGTTTACGGGCTGACTGTCGCTTGACCCAATAATTCGGTTTTATTACGATTGAACAGCTGCAAATACTCCTCAGAATCATCAGTTCGTTGTTGTTTTTGATGAATTGCGAGCTTTGCATAGAGCTTTCGCACAATGAAATATGCACTCAAAATATAATATATTCAATGTAGATTTCGCAAAATGTTTATCAATAACAATATACAAAATATTAAACCAAATAATAAGAAAAGAGCACAGAGCAATCCAAAATATTATGACCTTTTGCTAAAGAAACGCTTTTCCAAAAGTATTTTGATAACACTGTTTCTTGAATTGCAGTTAATTTAATTTTGAACTGATTGTCATTTTTGTATACCAATAATATACTCACTGTTTTAAGGGTAGGAAATTATTAATCTGTAATCTGGGCACTGCACTTTCTTAAAAACGACTAAAGCCTCTAATACATCTCAATTTTTACGAGGAATTATACGTGTAATTTTGTTAACAGGCAATTTTCCAGAAGCTTACACACCAACTTTAACTCAACAATGTGTGTTTCAACATCACGCATGCCCTTTATTTATAGTCTTTTCCAAGTCGTCTCATTATGCCAAAAGCTTAAAGACCCGTGCACACAAAATTAGTGGCAATGTAAATATTCAATTGTTGCCTACGTTTTTGAACTTCAGAAGTATGCTTTCAATTTAGCCATTTGGCTCCCTTCTTCTTATCCTGTTTTCCTTCGTGTAACCTTTCTCCCAACTCTACATCGCCGCTAACTAACTTCTTCGTAATTAAAATATTTCCACTTCTTATTTATTTGTTTGCTGTTTAATTTTGCAGAAGCAGAGTTAGTCTAAGCGCACACACTTCCAGTTTGTTAACTGCATGTTTGTAGATATGCTGTAGGAAAGGACTCGCAGTTTGTTTGTTTGCTCGTCGGTCGCCAAAGAATTTCACTTTGATTCACTCTCGCTACTAATTAGCTAAATTAATTACTAACGCTCCAGCAGTGTGTCTAAATATTTACTTTAATATACCACATTTCTCCTTACTTATATATTATTCTCTTCGCAACAGTGATTACTACTAAGTGATTGAAACTAATGCCGACACTGGTGACTGCAGCAAGTAGTATTTTGAATGTCTGAGAGGTGAGTTTTCTCTTAAGGATACTATATTATATATTATGTCATATATTGTATATTGAAATCAAATTGAAACACAGATGAAGTTTACAAAACAAAATCTTCGTTCGTACCAAATCCTCGTTTTAGATCTTTATATAAATGCAGAAGATCTGGGAATTCCAAAAAAATTTAGTTTTGCATTAAGTCTTTATTTGTTGTTCTCTGATACCCAAACTAGCAAAAAAATATGTCCACTGTGTTAGAAAATGAATTTCGAAGGAATCAGAAACCTATTCCATTCCAGAATTACATTCGAACAAATATCCGCTAACCCTTTGAAATGATAATTTACTATTAATTCTTTTATGCGGAAAGACGGTGAATGATATGTTCATGAAATATTTCCATATCGAAAAACTGCTTTGTGACAAGAATGCCTCATCGATACAGTCGGTAAGCAAATTTCCTTTTGACTTCTTTGTTTTCGTTGTTAAGGCATCTTTTAAAAAATACCAACTTAATCCGACCTAAGTACATACCCAAAATTCGTTGATAGCATACCGTACCGAAAATAGTCTGTTGGAGCTTCAAGTTAGAGGACCAGATATACCAGGATAATCATAAAACCTAGTGGAGATTTGGTTCTATAAGTAGGTAGAGTAGCTGTCCGATGCCACACCTAGGTCGGTTAGAGACCTGTTTTGGACCCGCCGAGGCTTAAGTCATCTCACTCTATTGTTTCTTCTCTGAACCAACCCTACTAATGAAGTTCAAAAGAAATTATCTGTGCAAACTCCGAAACATCATGAAGAAACCCTGTTGCCATTACATTGCTAAATAAAGCTTTGCATTCGCATAGAAGATATTTTATTGTCACGTCTCCTTCTACCTCTTGACGCCTTCTGCAATAGTCAGTATATSGAGTTCCTAGTCTGATGGCATGCCTGCAAATTACTAGAGTTCTTATGTCATCCCTCTTGAATTATAATGGTCTCCTTTCCGGAGTATAATTGAACTGCCTCACAGTTACCAGAAATATCGGTATGTGCTGAAACCCATTGCAAGTTGTTCAAGAAATAGATGTTAGATCCCCAAAGAGATCAAGGCACTGTTTCAGTATCTTTGACGAAATCGTAGGATGCTTTAATGATTTTAACACTTGTTAATATGTGAATTTAAAGATGAGGACTGATTATGACCGGATTTAARWTTAATTCTATAGGATTTCGCAAATCCGTGGTATGGGATAGAAACGGGAACTTACTGAGTATCATAGAATGTCTCTTAATACAAGCGACTAATACAGAGGATTCCCTCAGTCTAAAAGCTGACTTCGCTGCTTACAACAAAAACAAATCTGTTGGCAATAAATGYAAAATGACGTTGTTTCTGTTCACTGATCCAAATTTTCGAAGAAGACAGCTAAAAACAATATATATTAGTGCTTTTTTGGTTCTGCTTATAGGTATGACTCTAACCGAAATCCTCCAACTAGTTCTTAGGAGTTACATATTATATATAATATTATTTGTATATACGTATATTTTTTTTCAAAATACTAAGCGCTGACTAATTAAGAGACATCCCACGAAGCCGGAGTACTTAATTTACAAAAACTGTTATAATTAAGTCATTAAATAATTTAGACGCTTTGAAAGAGCGAAATATAATATAAGAATCGCCCATAGTACTAACTATTTACTAAGACTTGGTTACTACTTTCTTACTGTCTATATTAAGAACGCCAGCAAATTTCACATTTAAAAATAATTGGATATGTTTCTTTCGCTGCACTTATTGCGAGTGCTCCACTTTCCACTGGCAAACACGATCACTCTTCGATCGTCTACAAGCATCGACATTAATCATTGCGCTAAACAACACGAACGATCCTTTAGCTACGTTAATTGTGTCAAATGACCTCGAGCAGTTGCTGAAAAAAGCGACAGCGATTACTTAAAATAGGCGCGTTCAATGAGGAACACGCCAAGAGAGAGAGAGAGAGAGAGCCAAAGGCCAAAAGTGTGCGGAGGTGTAGCGGCGGCACAATTTGTTTGATGGCGGATGATAAACCAGTTAAAAGAGCGTTTCTGTGAGCGCGTCAAACTGGCTGAGAGCACGCGAGGGTATGCACTCAACTCTCTTAACATCAAATTTAAAGTTTGGCTACAACAAATATTCATAATATTTCTTTTGATGCTCTTCTTTTCACCATTAATGGTAAGCGCACCTGTTGAGCGCAACGGCTAGCTGTGGTGAATATGCATATATTACACATTTGCTGCARCAAGTGTGGTGTGTCGCTTTGGTAGAGTGTTCGTGCACGCGCGAGCTCGTTTTGTTTACAAACCTATTTTCTTTATTTACTGTTGTGAAGTGTTGTAGTTTACGCCAAACAAGCTACTTGATCTACACCTGGGTGCGCGTGCGCTCGCAGGCATGCTTATTGCTACTGTTGCTGCTACCACGCTCTCGTTCAAGTAACTTTCTTTTSCATTTCACCACTAACAAATTATGCTGCGCGATCGTTTCGTATGTTCATGTGGATTCCCCACTTTGGTGGTGGTTTTAATGTTGCTGCTGTTGATGCGCCAACATAGCTTGGCATATCACTGTGACTCTACCTCACGTTTAGTTTACAACGAAGCTTCGACGCGTTAAGACAAGTGAATCAAGCGACCAGTTTTTTTTGATTATTTTCTGTTAGCGCTTTGTTTCGTGTTTGTGCGMATGCGCGTAGAGCACACTTCTTTCCATTTTTGCATAGTTTGTTGATCGATCGCTTATAGTGCAAATACTTAATATAACGTCGCGTCGCGATTTCTAAGCGGATTTGTTGCGTGMAAATGCGGAGCACGTAATTAGAACGCGCGATCGCGCCGCTTGCCGTGTATCACAATAATTGGCATTGACAATAATTGCTTGCATGCAGGCGGACTTATGAATAGCAGTCTATTCGGGGCGCGTTGCTGTGTTCGATTGGCAATTTAGTGCGATTAACCGCGCGCGTGCAATTGGGTGAATGTGAGATTACAAGATTTGTGCTGGTTTTGTAGAAATTTTACTAAAAATAGGCGTGGCGCATATAAAGCGCTTAACTTGCTGTAGTCTTTTAGAAGCTTTGTGTTRTGGATCCGCAGCGCAGTTGCCACGTAAAGTGCACATAAAAAGTGGGCGGCGTGTTATCGTATTAATCGCCGCTTACTTGCTAGTATTCAAAACGCAAAAAAAAATATTTAAAAAAAATAAAAAACGTGTACTATTAAATATATTTGGAACCCGAAATCGTGTTTGAGTTCTGTGAACTACCAAAAAATGTCACATGCGCTGCAGGCGTTCAAGTTGAAAACGGCCGCGCAGACAAATTTGCCGCTACCCAAAGCGTTGGGGCGCCGCGCCCATTTGCTTGCAACAAAAAACTGGTGGAAATTGTGTTTTGTGTACGGTCATGATCCGTCGAAACTTTACCGTGAAATCACTTACAACACAGAGTCCACAAATGCAACAGACAATAAAACAGATAATACAACAACAATGAATGCCAGTGGGAATACCGCTACGGCGTGTAATACGGAGGCTGCTGATTCATTGCGCGCCACGACAATGTCACAAGTGGAAAGCGGCAGCGCATCGCAAAGCTCATTGAATGACGCTGCAAAATTATTTCCACGCAATATGCCGAGCGTGAGGCGCAGTCGCAGGCGCATAGCGGCCAAAGTAGTAGCCAGTGATGAGACAGCGGTTAGCACAGAGTTACCAATGATTGCTAAGCAAACGGCAGAGAAGAAAAAAATAGCGAATAACGCTGTTTTGCATCGCGTCGATAGCAGCTGCCACAAATCGAGCCTCTCGAGGGTCACYAAGTTGACGCCGCGGAAACTAAAGGCACCAAATAGTGGGCAAAGGCGGCGCACGCCATTTAGTGAGAATWATGTAACGATGATGAATGGCAAGCGCGAGATTAGTACACACATCAAAGAACGTAGGAATAAATCCAGAGCGCACGCGCAAAACAACGACAGCGACAAGCCGCTTGCTGCTGACAACGCTAAGTATGGCGGTCCACTCAGCGCAAATAAGGCGCCAACACAGCATGCAAGCATGGCGCGTTGCCACAAACATAGCAAGCAAGCGCTTAGCGCTGAGAAAGAGCAACAAAAATATGAGCATTTAACTGCTATGCAAGCGCAAGAAACGACGCGCCAGCAACTGCAGCARCGTGAAATTGCACAAACGCTCAAGCAACCAGCGCACATACACCAACATTACGCTAAACCACTAAAATTGTCACTACTGCCGCATGAAATAGCACTGTGTGACGACGGCGCGCGGCCGTCTGTCGCAAGCGCGTTGTCATGCGCGGTCACCCAAACTGCCGATGTTCAATACGCGCAAAACCGCTTGGCCGCAATCGGCGCATTGCCATCACCCTCCGCCGCCTCACAGACTCACTCTCAGCAATCGAGTCTCATTAGCTACGATTTGAGTCGTTCCACAAGTCGTCTAAGCTGCTTTGAGTCAACACCGAATGCGGTTAATGCCATAACAACAACAGCAGCAGCAACAACGGCCGAACAGTCGCTAGCAAGTCAATCACATACCAATGCTGGTAAACTAAGTCACAAGCCGCATCACCAACATATGGATGACACATTTCTGTCATCGGGCATCTCGTGCGGCGACGCTGAGACGCAATCAGAAGCGAGTTGTAGTTCACCATCGCTAATGCAACTACAACATGTTGCTGATATTGGCGCGCATATGGAGGACGTCGAGGATGCTTTAATTGAGGMAGAGGTGGCACAGCTTACGGCCAATTTGCGGCGTGACGAAGAGGCGGCCGAGCGACGCCTGTCACGGCGCGTYGAGGCCACAGCGAAAATGTTGCAGACCAAAAATGCTGTCTGTTCAAGTGGGAGAGAAGCGGCGTCAGYCGTGGCAGCAAAGAAAGTCGCCGTCATCACCAATGCCAAATCAATGTCAACAACTATGACAACAAGCGGAACATCAACAACAACAGCAAACGCGCCATCAGCAGTCTTACCACAATCACTAAATGTTGCTGATCTACGCAATTTGAAAGTTTGTCGCAATCGCAATGCGGTGTGGATGCTTTCGTGCGCCAACAACAGCAATAGCTGCACAGCGCCCATACCTGATGACGCGCAGCTAAGCGATATTGAGGAGCAGCTTGCGCGCTTGCCATCCAACGATGAAGTGGATATGACGAGTGGCGTGTCGTCGACGCTTGAAGAGTCAGCAAACACGGTAGCAAGTAGCACAGAAGAAAGTGCAGCAACAGCACTGTCATCAACAACAACAACTACAAGCTCGTGTCTGCAGCAGCAGCCGTAAGTGGTATTTAGTCAATAAAAATCTCTGAAATATATTATGGTATTTTTTGCTTTCTCACACATTGACCCTTACGTCTGTAGCTTTCAGTTTCAGTAAATAATCTAAAATTATATCATAGTCATTAGCATTTCAATAGTTCCGCCGCGCCGATTAGTCTGTAAACAGGCTTTTATTGTCAGCTCAATGACTTGATTGGGCGCTTCCACATTTATACAAATAGAACAAAGCAGTCTGTGCTTCTATTCTTTACAGCTGAACCCATGTTTGACAGTGGCTTAGTTGGTTTTCAAATGTGGGAAGGGTTTAAGTAAAAAAAGTATTTTTGCTTATGTAGAAAGTGGTTGTAAGAGCGTCAGGAAATAAATATTTAAACTACATATACAAGGTTTTATAAAAAAAAGTATTCTAACTTTTCTTCAAGCAATTATCGTATAAATTATTGCGGTTAGAAAGGCATATTATAAGTTAATGTTTGCATATGCTCAAAATAATATTTACCTTCTTATAGTTTCATGTATAACGAAAAATCAAATTCTAATAAAAGTTAATTAATTTTGAGGTTCCCTAGTAAAAAAAAAAACAAAACTTCAAATGTAATGGGGAGTGTTTAATATCATTCGAAAGAACATTATTTTTCATTTATTTTTGGAAGATTATGCTTTTCAAGTGTTGCCCGAGGCCACGTCTCAGATGGTTCATTCGTTAAGTCGAATTTTCGATCACTCRTTCGAGCATTTCTATTGGTAACTGTCGACTGATAAGTGTGATATTTTACTCCAAGGCCTGTATCGAAACGGAATTGTCCGGATAGACTTAAACATCTCCACAGGAAAAAGTCTGACGGCATGATATCACAGTATCTTGATGGCCAATCGACCGACCGAAAATGTGAAATTATCTCCTCATCGGAGTGTTCTCTCAACAATTCCATTGATTGATGCGATATGTGGGAAGCCGCGCTATTTTGTTTTTTTCTTGAAATCAAATTTCGCCGAGATTACGATCTTCAATTTCAGTCCCTTAATGACGGTTACGTTCGCTTCGGCCTCATTTTTGAAAAAAGATGGACCGAATGTTCCACCGACATACAAACCACACCAAACGGATGCTTATTCTAGATGAAATGGCAGCTCCTTAATCCCTTCAGGTTGCTCTTAGTTCCGAATTCGGYAATTTTGCTTTTTCACATAACCATTCTGCCAGAAATGGGCCTCATCGTTGGAAAAATTTGTCTTGGAAACGTCGGATCTTCTTGGARCTTTTCAAAAGCCCATAGAGCGAAGCTTCTGTTCAGCTACGGCTGCTTTATTTTCKCCAYTTTTGWTAAGAGAATAACGTCMAAATTTAGTGTTTAGTAAATGGCGAATCATTGAAAGCTTTCCTATTGATGATATTACCATTTRTTAAATCGCTTAGAGCTACTATTACTAACAGAATTTATTGTCTCTCCGATGGAATGGAAAAAAGAAAGAGCCAAAGTGAAAACCAATATCTCGCAGTCTCAAATTAAACGAATTATTGAAATGAATCATGAATCGAAGTCACAATACATTTGCATATAGTGCATGTATTACTCTTGCAATGGTCAAGTATTTTCAGTGTTTTCTCGATTTATTTATTTTTTCATGAAAAGTATTCACGGAAAGAAATACAAGTTTGAATTTTATTTAAAAAGTTTGCAGACAATAATAGTTAAAAGCGCTGTATAGCACCCTTAAACTTGCGTTGTATTGATGTTTTGAGATATGTCTTAAATACACTAAMATCTTTCTGAAAATATTATTTTTAAGAGAATTTCTTTAAAAATGATAAATATTGTTGGTTAATATTGCTTTGAGAGAACTTCTATACAAATGACAAATGTTGTTGAACTTATCGCAAATTCCGTTTTACCCCCATCAAGTCTATGGCTCTGTTACTCTATAAACGTAAACAAACGATTAACTCCGTCTACATAACAACGGCAACTCAATGGAAGCTAGTGGCTTGTTTATCTTCCATTTCAAAGAATAATTATCGGTTTCTTTAGAGTGATTGCATAAATAACCACTCAAGTTATTAAGATTTTAGTCTGTTCATTGTGTAATACTTACACTCAGTCATTTGTTGAGTTCTCCTTAAGGTTTTAGACGTAAGTCGTCAATTTATTGCCTATCTTGTCTTATCAATTCTGTCATTAAGCTAAAAAGAAATCTAAATAAACTAGAAGAAAAGCATATTAATAAACTGAACTATCGATTATTTCTTAGAACTCAACTCAACTCAACTCAAAAATAGGCGAGTATTGAAGAAAATAACAGCTGTGATTTCCAAATTTACATAGAAAAAGCTTGTTAGTATTCTTCTACTTGGCAAAATAGAGTTTGTAGAGTACCAAGCTTGTTGAGAGTTTGTAGAGTGATTCAGAAATTAAAAATGTTTCAAATTATTTCCAGTTCCTGTATTAGTAGTAGTGTCACTTTTCCAAATAACTTTGCAAAAATCATTTCCCTCAAGAACAGTACAAAGATGCTTTTGATTTGCGGTCGTTTAGTTTCGAAACATTATACGAATTTCGCGAAAAATTTATCGACTCTATGCACATAAATTTCGTTGCTCCATTTTTTGTACCCAAACTGTCACTTAGGAGTGCTTTCATAATAAATTTCTATTTCCGTTTTTTTCTTACCTTTTTGAAGAGCGCTGAATCTCGAATATGTTTCTTGAACACCCAATTTATCTACGTGTTTCCCAAAAGTTCTAAAATATTAAATATTCAAATTTTGAACTAATTACAGCTAGCAGCTACAAGCGCCATTTAAGTCATAGAAGTCTGTCCACAAAGTTACACACATAAATATATTTATGTATACTATATATGGAACCTTATGAAAATCATCATCTGCTAATTACCATATAAATATAAAGCTCATTAAGAAACTATGCAAAATTAATAAAAAAAAAATAAAAAAAATTTCCTCAAAAATTAAAATTCGTAAAAAGCCAAATATATGTTTATACTGTGTGTTTGTATTTTCTAGCACATATACACATGCGGATTACAAACCGCAGAGAATTAATGAGCTGCGTTTACAATATTTCGCGCTTCCTCTAATTAATTTATTCAAAAGCCATTAGCGATAAACGAAACTCCATCTTCTTCTTAATCACACTTTATGCTCTTTCTGTGCTTAAATATTTATTTATCTGCGCAGTTTTCTGCTAAGCGTTTCCACCGTGCCATATGGCGTAGAGCATCGCCGCGGATACGACAATGTGTCAGAAGCAATTTTGTAGTAGTCAATTGGTGAGGCGCACCAATGTGGCATTCGGTTAGTTGTTTCACCAAAAATTTTGTTTGGGTTATGGACATTTGAGGCGCCCAACGGCGGAGCAGTGCGATRAACTACCGACAAGGCAACATTGAAAAGGCGTTGCGAATTGCGAATTATTAATAGTGGTGTCAATTAAGCGAATACAAGTATGCATATCCATGCACATATACACAGTAAGCCGTACATATGTACACATCTACACACACATACATTTATGCAGAATAATTTTTGGTAATTCTCGAATTTGCATTCGCATTATTTAGTTGTCAAAAGAGTTGTAAGCGGCGCTGCATCCTTTAGCAGCCGGCGGTTTGACACACTTTCATTGTTGCTGTTTTGACTTTTTTTTGGTTATGACATGATGCATACGCTGATTACATGTAATAAAGACATAAAAGCACAAACAACAGCTGCTGACAATAAGCCATTTTTTATGAACATTTAATGACTGGGCTGCGTACTTTTCGATTTATCGTTTGTTTTGGAAGAAGCAGACGAACKTGCGAAGAGCTTGAAAGATTATGCGTTTATACATATTTACATTCTATGTACGCATACATGGATGTAAATATATAATATGCATGTATTTCTCAGGCATAAAACTTWTGGGTTTAAGTTTTATAATATTTTTCTGATGTGTAATATATTTAACCGAAAAATGAAGGTAAGGCAGTTGCCACCCAAATTGAAATACACGAAAATAAAATAATTCAATATTTGTCGAAATAAGAAATTAATTAAGTATGACTGAGAGATTTTTAAGAGATTTTTAAGAGTTGTACATAAATATTTAGAAAAAGCGCTGCCACCTGTAAAATATTGTGGAGTGAAAAATTATGGTAAAATAGAAAGGACTTCAATTTAAACACCACTTACAATTTTTAAGACCACTTTCGTTATTTTGAATAAATATTTTTGGAAAAGATGCCACCTATTTAAAATTTAAATTAAAAAATAGTTATTAAATAAATGACAATAATATTGAYGAGATATAAAAATTAATTARTTAAGTATAACYRAAAGRKTTTGAATGATTKTGCATAAATATTTACAAAAAGTGCTGCCACCTTCTAAACAATTTTGGAGTAAAATAAAAATATATCAGTAAAGACATCAACTGAATAGCTGTAAAAAACTTGCGTGATTTTGARTAAATATTTTGGAGAGCGTTGCCACCTATTTGCATTTTTTTTTAATAAAAAAGAAGCAAACTTTAGAAAGACTWAAAAAAGCGTTTTTTGTATATGAAAAAAATACAATCAAATTCGGTTACAGTTCTTAGTTCATATGACCGAGTCAAATTTGATGAAGATTGTATATTATAAAATATAATTTTCAATAACATAGACTTTACATACCCGCACAGGAAAAAGTCGARCGGTGTGATATGACACGATCTCAGTGGCCAATCGASCRGCCCAAAACATGAAAGTATCTGCTCACCGAAGTGTTCCCTCAATAATTCTATTGAGTGGTGCGATATGAGGAAAGTCGCGGCATTTTGTTTTTTTTGTTGAAATCAAATTACGAGCTTCAATTTTAGACATAAAATAGTCGTTATTTTCGCCTTTGACGGTTACGTTCTCACCGGCGTCACTTTTGAAGAAATTTGGTCCGATGACTCCACCGATCGCCAAACAACACCCAAATCGTCGAGTTTTCTCTATGAAATGACAGTTCTT